TTTAGGGCCAATATGGGCTAAGTTAGGTCATTTTTGGAGTCATGTTTGGGTATGTTTGGGTCCCCTAAAAGGACCATGTAATAGGTCCAAAAATAATGACCTTAGCTCATGTTGAGCCCCCTGAGTTCTATTGGCCAAAAACTTATTTAAATTAGGTCTTTTGACGCAAAAAGAAGCCTGAATCAAATACGAAATCAGAACACTCAGATTGGTCAAAACTAATATGCTTGAAAAAAATCATATCTGAACATTATCATATTGTTTTAGAGAAATTAAGTGTCTATAACTATTCTAAGAGAAATTTGAATCTGTTCCATTTAAATGTTGATCGATCTTGTTTTGACATGGTTTACTCAATATTAATTCTCAGAAGATCTCGAGTGTCTCGTAATCTATTGTCATAAGCATTACATACCAGAGGTTGGTTCGACGTAAAATAGAGTGGAAACATGAGTTGGCTTTTACAGTATCTATAGAATAAAAGCTTTCCCTTCTCTTAATATTTAAGGAAGTATTTGACGTATAAGATTATAATAAAAATAATACTCCATTTAGCCTATAAATAATTGCACTTTTTCTAATGTGATAGTTAAATAAAAAAAATTCTAACCGGGTATTTAAATTATATTTTCATATATTAAATTATCCTAATCCTTAACACCGTTAAAAAAAATAATGACGTTACATGAATATCTAATAAAATACCGAGCGCCACATTATCAATATCACATCAGCATTCAAATAAAAATTCTAAAATTTTTTTAAATTATAATAAATTCAAAATTTTTAAAAAATTAAAATTTTTCTTAAAAAATTTAAAAAGTTTAAAAAATATTCAAAAAAATTCGAGGATAAGGATCTGTTGAAGAATTCAATTATGAAGAATTAAAATCTTAGAATTTAATTGAAGCTAAGATTATGTTCTTATAAATCAATATTGAAGTTGAGAGTGAATAGTGAAAAAAGTTTAATTACAAGTAAATTTGAGGAACAACAAAATTCACAATCAACAAAGACAGTGAAAATTTCTCACAGTCATCAACCACGCCCAATCATCTCTACCATATCCCTATCCAAAATCTAAGACCCAATTTCTCAATAAAATAATTCAAAATATAAATAAAAAATTTTCAATCAAGCAAGAAACAAAGAAATCTTAGCACCAGAAACTTGAAAAAAATCAGTTAAACCCAAACCCATAAATCAAGACAACCCAAAGCAAGCCTTAGCATAGACGACCAAAAGCATTCAACCAAAAACCCAGAAGCGAAATCAATAGCTCCAAACCAAAATCAACCACAAGCAAAAACAAGCAATCACGAACAAACACAAAAAAACACTCAAGTAACTCAACAACCAAAACCTAAAAGTCTCATCAACTTGAAAACAACCACAAATAATTTACCATCCCCAAACCCAAATCCTTCACACAACTAAGAAATTTAGCACACCATAATAGAAAACAACCATCTACACCTATAATCATGGAAAACAAAAAGCACAAAAAAGGGAAAAGAGATTAAGGTTTCGACATTAGAATTTCAAGTTAAGGTTATAGGATTTGAGTTTTGTTTATAGGAAAGACTTTTTGTTAGTGGCAAACCCAACGGAAAAAAAAGACAGTGAAAGCTGTGGTTTTTGAATTTTATCTTGGATTCTTTAAGGATTCTTTGAAAACCTATTTAAAAAAGAAAAAAAAAGTGTTTGAAAGGCTAGAGTAGAAAGTGAAAAAAGCAAGAAGAAGAAGGAAAGGCTAGTAAATAAGAGGGGGATATAATTTCAAAGGCTTTTGGCAAGAACGGTGGCCACCAATGGTGGTATACGGCAGAAGTGGCAAAGGGTGGTTGATTTCTGGGATTCTTGGTCAGCGTTCTTGACTTGGAGATTTATCTAGTAGAAAGAAGTTTGGGCTTTGGAGAGAAAAGCAAACCGAAAATGAGCTTTTAATTGTTTTTTTTTTTTTTTGAATTTTTTTATAATTTTTAAAAAAATTTACAAAATTTTTAGAAAATTTTAGAACTTTTTAGAGTTTTTTTTTTTTTAATGCTAATATGGCATTGATGATGTGACGTTAACTAAATTTTTTTTATATGTGTTAACATTTTATTAGATATTTATGTCATATCAATGTTTAAGAGTTAAGGTAATTTAATATATGAAAATATAGTTTAAGTACTTGATTATAAATTTTTTTTGTTTAGTTACCGCATTAGAAAAAGTGTAATAGTTTAGGGGCCAAATAGAGTATTATCTCATTATGATAAAATAAGATAATATGATATTATGAATATGATTAAATTAAATAATGTAATCCTATCTTTTTGTTTGATGTGTACAAAGATTAAGGTAGGATAATTTATTTATTGATCAAAATTATCTTTTCTCAAAGTTTATATAATTTAAATCATAAATGTAATTTTTAAGGGTATAACAGGATATATAAATTAAATTATATAGATTAAAATAATCTTTTTCACTTTGAGAGGATTGAACAATCTAATATCAAGAGGATGATTAAATCTCCTTACAATCATATCCCTTTCTTTAGATACAAATCAAATATAATATAAAATAATTATTATTTTATCATATCCATCATTTTATGTACCAAACATGACTTAAATTTCTTCCAATCTCATGTGTTGTTGTGATAAGCCTATTTGGGGAGTGCCAAACTTTACCTATTAATGATCAACTCACATGTAAAAAATCTCTCCTAAATCAAAGTATAACAAAAACTAGTTAATTATAATTAAACGTTAGCTAATATATAATATATAATATAATAACTAAAACTTGCTTTAAATTTATATATAGTAATTTAATTTTCACCCCTTTATTAATCATTAACGTGCTCCCGATGTAATGGCTTGTTTTATATAAACAAATTTTATTTTCCTAATTTTTTCCATTCAATATAGAGTAAATATCTATTAGACACTTCTAAAGGTTAGAATATTCGTTGAAATTCGAAAGTCCATACGATATTTAAAAGAATTTGAACAAAAATATTAAATCTACTAAACAAAGTTCAGCAAAAATATGAGGCCTATTTAAAACATGAGCCAAATAACTTGGCTCCAACATTGAAGGAGCTAAGTCTAGTCCATTCCAATGCAACAAATATATAATATATATTTTATATAAAAATAAAAATAAAATATTATAAAGTAAGTATTAGAAAATGTATTAAATTATTAATATTTTAAACCTTACTAAAAAAATAAAAAAGATTAAATAAAAAATGCTATGTTTTATTTATATTACAAAATTGATTTGTGTGAGCTTAAAGAAGCCTAAATTGTACATTTATTAATTTAGCGAATTTGGGCATAATTTTGAAAGTCTTGTTGAGTCAAGCCTAAGCTAATATGTAAGTTGAAAGTCCATGTCTAGGTTAAAACATGGGTTGTACCATTTACTAACTGGGCTTAATTTTTTTTATCTAAATATTATGTTTTTTTATTTAATCTTTAATATTTTTTTTTCTTTATTAAGGGTTTTATTTTTTTGACTAGAGGAATAAATTAGTAGTTAAATAATAGCTTATTTTATTTATTAAAAAATTCCTATATTAATTTATAAGAAATTCGCACATACTGACTGATGTAGGATCCTAAGACAATCCACTATCGAAATGATTTTTTCTTTATTAAGATTTTAAAATATGACTAATTTAATATAATTTCTATTGTTTACATTATAATATTATATATATTTATCTTTTATATGCTACATTATATCTACTATATAATATGCAATTGTCAAATCTGGCTGAAGCCTTAAATTTAGAGCCAAGGCTTGGGGCTCGTTTCTTAAAAAGGTCTTATATTTTTATTCGTTTATTTAATGAGTTTAATATTTTTACACGAACTTTTTTAAGGATTTTTTAAAAATGTATTTCATTTTTTTCTTTACATTCTAAATTTTCTTTAGATCATTTTTAAATGAAATTACTTAATTAACTTTTCTCAGATCCGTTCTCTCTTTTAAATTTCTAGGTTTATAAATTCAAAAATTTTTAAAATTTTTATCCCAAATCTTTTAAATCAAAAGAAAATCTAAAGATCTATATACATAGTTTTTGTCTGCCTATTTGTAAATAAGCTTATAATTATTTGAAACAAATTGTACTTTTTCTTTGTAATGTTGTGAAAATTCCTTAGGGTATGATATTTTTTCCTTAATTGATTTTTTCTAAACACTAAATGTAACTTATCGAATTTTTATATCCAATAAGTTATTTAATTTATCAAATATGCATATTTTATAAGTTTTAAAATTTGCTGAATATGCATATTAGAAAACTTCAACATTAAAATAAGAAATAGTAATTAGATAATTTTACCTAAAGATATTTTTAAAAAGTGGGTAGAAAAAGAAAAAATGGATGCATTTAGAAACACACCTCTTTTAAATAACAGGTGGTCATTTAGATTTGGATGGGTAACTTGACCCTTGTACCGCTCTAATATTTACAATTAATTTTTAAAAGCACGTAATTTCTTATAACTCATTCGAGATGGACTCCCAATTAGGGGAGTTAAATTTGGAATGTAAATACAATTAGGAAAGAAGAGCAACTCAAAAAACAAAAATGGAAATAAATAAAAGAATCGACTTGGACTTCAAGTTAATTAGATTTTCATTTATCATTGATACAAGCATGTCGGTAATTCTTGACTCTAAAGTCCAAACCCTCATAAAAAAACCCACCAAATCTCCAAGAACAACAAAACCTTAGAAAATATAATTCCCAAAATATCGACATGCCTTCCTATTACTATCTCAAGATTAGCCAAGAAATAGATAATCAATTAGAAGAACTATGTTCTTGCATTCCATATGATCTTTTCAACATAGAATTAGAGCTTTGTTCCGTTTCACCTCTTAATTTTGAAATAACTTTAGAAATATTTCATCAATCGCTCATACATCCCCGTCACATGATTTTATTTGAAGAGTATGGGCCAAACACCGTCCTTTCCATGTTTGATAACATGGGTGCACCTCCAGAATTCCTTCAATCTGTCATTATTCCAAATATTTTGTCTTTTGCATGGGAAGTTGATAGAGATCCTATTAATCTTGGACGTAAAATAAAGAAGTTGGTCGTGGAACTAGTAATAGTTCAAGCAGCTGTTGATGAGATTGATGAGGTGATTGATGAGTCGTTAACTACGTTGAATTTCAAGCCTGCTAGTAAGTCTTCTATTCAAGCTTTGAAAAGGGTGAAATTTGGCAACAATGAAGATAGTCTTTTACCCTTGAAGAAGAGGAGAAGACTTGAGGATATGAGTTCCAAGAAACAATGCAGTATTTGTTTGGATGAGTTCATCGACGGTGAGGAGGTTGCTTTGATGCCTTGTGGACATGTTTATCATGATGGTTGCATTGTTAGATGGTTGGAAACGAATCACATGTGCCCATTATGCCGATATGAGATGCCAAGTTGACCCAATTTTTATCTTTTCCAAGTGCTGGAAATAACTTTTATTTTGTTGTTGGATGTCCGTTTGAGAAAAGGAAAATTTTTTTGTGATTTGGGAAAAAGGCTGAGATTGAACTCGTATAATTTGCTAACATAATGGATATTATTTGAATTTATTCTATGATTTTTCCCTCTATGGAGGAGGATTTTTCATGTAAATTTCTTTATTTTTATGTTGATGCTAGTGTCACGGGTAGAGACTTAAGCTCCGAATCCGCGCGGTTCCGGGACCCGGGCATTCACCCTTCCGGCGTCCCAGATCAGCCTTCCTGTCACGGTTCACACCCTTGTGAGGTATTGTCCGCTCTGGCCCCCATGACCTCACGGTTTTGTCCTACAAAAGGTGTCTCACAAGGCGGAGATGGTGTGAACCCTTTTATACTCCAGGGACCCTCCTATTATGTTCGATGTGAGATTCATGACTCTTCTTTAGGTCCGTGACATTCTCCCGCACCCAATCTCGTGACGCTCTCGTCACGGAGGCTGACCACCTTGTCTGCCTCCCTTGAGGTGCTTGGCGTGGATCAAACGGTTTAGGGTTGGCTCTGATACCACTTGTCACGGGTCAAGACTTAAGCTCCGAACCCGTGCAGCTTCGGGACCCGGGCATTCACCCTTCCGACGTCCCAGATCATCCTGACCGTCACAGTTCACAACCTTGTGAGGCGCCTTTTGTAGGATAAAACCGTGAGGCCAGGGGGGCCAGAGCGGATAATACCTCATAAGGGTGTGAACCGTGGCGGTCAGGCTGATCTGGGACGCCGGAAGGGTGAATGCCCGAGTCCCGGAGCCGCGCGGGTTCGGAGTTTAAGTTTCGACCCGTGACACTAATAATTTCTGTTTATTTATAAAAAAATTTTAATTGATTGATTTGAATAAATTTTATTATGATTATTATTGGTTTGAGTTGTAGTGTCTATAATTCGTTTAAGAAAGTTTGATACCTGAGGTTTAATAATTTTTGCTCGTTGGAAGATACTATTAAATCTTAATTTCTTTTCATGATCACATCAAAGAGGATCAGAAAACTTTGTTTGCTCCTTAAAGGATTTGTTCATAGACATTCATCCCTCGTATATATATTTTTTATTTATTTCTTTGATTCATTCCGAAAGTTTTGTTTCCAATTATCTAAAAAGCACATCACCAAAACCAAAAACAAACAATTCAACCAATGCAAATTTTATATCTAGAAAAGGGCCACACAGTGCTCATTAATGCGCTCTTAAATTTTGGAAATTAATTTTAATATGCACTCTTTTTCCAATTTTGATTTTGCTTACCATATTTTGATGAAGAAAGAGGCTAAAATAAGTATTGGTCCTGTATTAGTTATTATGGACATATATAAGATTTTATGTATTTTACCAATGAATCACAATTTATCATTGTATTAATCACAATGGCAAAAAAATTTATACGATGACAAGTTATGATTATTGTTTATATTATTGAATTATATTAACAGTGTATTAAATATAAATTTTAAAATTGAAATTAATAAATATAAATTACTTCAAATTTTATGAATTAACGATAATTTATTTTTTATAAAAAAAGAGTAATTTGAAAATAAAATAAAGAATTGCAAATACCAATATTAAAATTCAAACCTTTTGAATGTTAATTTTTTAAGATTTAATTTCAACTTTCACCAGAAACATGGATACATGTGAATCTTGCACAAACCAACTAAAGGCTGGACAGGCACATGTCACCAATGTCTTGGTCTCTCCCAACTTTAGTCAAATAAAATGTCCATGTTCCAATGTTTAATTAAAACACATGGGAAGTTTAACCTAAAATGTCAAACGCAATCAACTCTTTTGTTGTGGAAGGAATCCTCTTCGAACTTCTAAACCAAATCAAAATAAATTAAATCGACCATAATAATTTTGTAAGCATTCGAGATTAGGCATCAATATGGGTAAGCCTCAAGTTAAAATTCATTTAATCTATATAGTAAATGATTTTGGATGCAAATTATTATTTTTTACTTGAAATTGTCAACATTTTAATCTTAATAATTAAAATTAAAATTAAAAATCCAACATCCTATAATAAAATAAATAATTATTTTTATAATAATACATTAATTATAATTTTTTTCTTAAATATCACATTAATAAGTGTTAAAAAATTTAAATAACATTTTTATCTTAAATTTTATATAAAAAATTACATATACTAACAAATGGGTGGCTTGATATTTAAAGTTCCCATAGTTTCAATACCAAATAATGTTAAATTTTTTAATTTAATCTCAAAATATTTTTTTTTTTTAGTTTGAAACTTTTTGGTGTTTAGTAATTATTTTAAATTTTGACTAATTAAAAATTAAATCGAATTGAATTTCATAAAAAAAATAAATCTTTTTAAATTTAAATTTTTATTTATAAAACTCAAAACAAAAATTTATTTAAAAAAAAACAAATTATTTGCCATTTGGACCAACAAGCGCCGGTTATTTAATCTCAAATTAATGATTTCCTATGAAGAATATGATAAAACGTTTTATCTTAATTGAAAACCGAACCATTTATTAATCTTGAATTTTTTTTACTGTAAGTTTTTTAAAATTAAGTAAAATTTTTATTATAAAATTAAAAAAAAAAAAGTGAAAGGCCCGTGACTGTTGAGGTAGGTTTACATTCGACGCATCTTTAAAATATGTATCATTTAGATATATAACCCATCATTATCTCTGTGTGTCAGACGCGCCTCGGTTGAAAGTCTTCACACTCCATCCATTGAACTAAGACAGTTCTATGACTTTGCTGTCGTTTTCCTCAGCGTTCCTAGATTTTGCGAACGTCTTCCAATCTCTTTCTTCGTTTTCTTTTTTTTTTTTTTTTTTTTTAATTTTCCCATCTTATCGTATCTTCGTCTTGTTTTTGTAAGCACGTGGATTGAAAATGGGACATATGCTTTTTTTTTTTTTAATTAATGATTTGGTTTTACTTGTTTGGATAGGTATGATGGGATTTTGTTTGAGTAATTACAATATTGCCACTTGTGGTTTTTGTTATTAAGTTAAATATTTTAAACTTAAGTCATCGATTTTATATAATATAATTGATTTAACGATATGAATGGTATTTGAATTATAATAAAATTTTTATATTTTATAAAAATATATAATAGTTAAGTTTTTCATATAAAAGGAAATAATTTATTTAATATAAAAGGAAATAATCTATGTGGATAGGTTATATTTTTTATATATAAAATGTTACAGATAAATGTCATGTGTTATATAATTAATGAATTTAATTATATAATTAATTGTAAAATAACTTATTATGGCTAAATTAATTATGTTTAAATATCAATATTTTTGTCTCTTATAAATTAGCTATAATTAATTTGATCATTAATTTAAAATTTTTAAATTTAAATAAAAAACTAATTAATCATATATAATTTTGCATACTTACTAATTGTTATTTATGATTATATAAACATATTAATTTATTAGAACAATCTAGTGTATATATATATACACACACATGCAAAAAAAAAAAAAATCAATATACTAACTTAAAAAAAAAAAAGTCTATGTATGTAGGATAACTTTTTATACAAGAATAATGTTAAATATTGTCATGTGTTTTGATTATAATCAACAATTCAATTTTTAAAATTAAATTACAAATTAATTTAATTTTTGATATTTCTCAATTATCGTCCAAAAAATATAGTTAACTTTTTAATAGCTTTAATTTTAGTTTTTTTTTTTTTTACTTTAAGTATGAATATTTCTTTTTATTTTTTTATAGTAACAGTTTTATTGGCCATTCCATAGCTTTAATTTTGTTATGAATTTTCTAAAATTTTTTATATTTACATTACCTTAATTTTGGGTGTTTGATTACCAAAATAAAAAGAATTGATAGGTCAAATGATATATTTAAAAGTTAAACTTTATACTAATATGTAATTAAAAGAGACAAAAAATTTTATAATAATATGTAATTGATTGATAACTCAATTCTTAAGATTCACATTTTGTGAGTGTAGATGTTGTCTATATATATATATATATAAAGGTGATATGATGAATTTGATGCGCACAACAACTGTTGTCAAAAAATTTTCATTTGTATTCTTTAATTCTTTTTTCTTCTCTTAATACATTGTTTAAATAATGGTATGACTTTCTAATAAATCTAATAATTTGTGTATTCGTATCATATAAAATACTAACAATTCTACATCTATTTTATATTTTACACAAAAATTATATGTCATAATTCGTGTTAACACAAAAATATAAAATATATATTTTTTGTTTTGTTAAACTTATTTATAGTTTTGCTAAAATTTTAAACAATGTTGTTTTTGTGTATTTTATTTGTATTTTTTTTGTATCATGTCATCATAATGTATTTGAAATTATCAGGTCTATTTTTTGTTATTTTACACCAATATTCTATATTTTATAATGGTGTTGTAAGATTATAACTTTGTGAGTATTATTATTTTTTGTAACATAATTTTTTTTATTTAGTATTATATTTTTATAAGTATACTTTCCTTAATTATTCAAGTTAGAATTATTATATTAATCTTAATTATGGTTATTTGATTTTTTTTCTTTTTATTTCAGTTTTGATTTAGTGTTCGTGAATATTTTACTATGAAAATTAATTGATAATTATTTTTTTCTAATTTTATAGTTGCAAGGTTTTCATATTAAAACAAAAGGTTATAATGTTAAAAAAAGAATATTAATGATGGTAAATTTCTTTTATCAAAACTTTAATTTTTTTTTAGACCTCTTTGAATGATTTGATTTAATCTATTTATATATTTTTTTTAATTTTTAATTTATTATTATATTTGGCACTTATGTATTTCTATCTCTACAATGAATTCATTATTTAATTTACCAATAAAAAATGATTAGAAGTCTACTTTTTTCTTTTTTTTATTTGATTATTAAAAATTTCATTCGTAATAAAT